AGCAGAGGATTCAATCTTAGAATTTGACTAGGTTTCAACTTTGTTGCTGTGGGACTAGTAGGGCTACGACTAGTGGGGCTATTTGATCTACCTCTCTTGAGTCTTAAACCATTAAACACCTTGTCCAAGGGGATTTTGCTAGGCAGCCTTCTGGGGATAACATGTTCCAACCCTTTTGTGGCTAGTGCAGATTCATCACCAGGTGTTTCCACAAAGTAAACTTGGTGATCATTGCCCTCAAACACAGTACAATCATTACCTGGGACTAGGGTTCATTCAAATCCTTCTTGGGCTACTACCTCCTCCCTTTTTGAATTACCAAATAGAGATTCATTAACAGGAATGATATCCAGGTTAACAGTGTTAAGAGGATTCTTACTCATTGAATTACCAGCCACCAAACCACTACTGCTACTACCAATGTATTCAATATTTAAATGTTTATTTTCCTTAGGTGGAGAACAGCTAGAAGACAAGTTTGAGCTTAGGATTCTTTCTAGACGAGGATATATCAGTTAGCATATGTGGAGTGGTCTTAGTTGATGCTTAACGAAAGTGTTAGGGGATTTAAAAGGCTTCTTATTCCAGGGTCCCTTCCTTTTGTCCCTTAATACGAGGGTGCATAATAGGCTTCGATTACTTGAAGTGCTTTTGTAAATATTGTTAACCCTACCTGGGGTCCGGTTAGTCTCTCTCGCCTGTGCAGTTCTCAGCCTTTTACTATACATAGGTTGGTTTGGATCCTTCAAAGACATGACCATCTCTTCTCCGCACACAGAATCTAAGTGACCTAACTTACCACATTTATAGCAGAAGTTTGAGAGCTACACATACTTTAGTTCAGCCCACTTATCCTCATGATTCTGAGAATGGGACTGGAATCCAGCAAAAGGGGCTTAAGAACTTCAATTTGAACTCTTCATCTTAAGAAACCCCTAAATAAAACATTGTTAACTATAGGGTTCTCGGCTTTGATTAAAATCTCCAGACTACTGCCTATAGTAACAGCACTATTATAGGTCAATTCATCAAAATCCAGACCGTGAACTTGTATCCAATAAGATTCTAGTGAGAAGTCAATTTCAGCCAAAGACATACGAAGATCCCATCGTTTAACATTGAACAAAAACCCTCCAACAGACCATGGAGCATTTTCCAGAACATACATCAGGTCAGATTCAGAATGAAAAGAGATAGCATAAAGGTTTTCTTCAACTTCATTTACCTGGAAATCCTTACGATCAGCCCAAGCTTTTGCAAGCACACCATAAACTCTATTCCGATGGACCGGACACTCGGCAATCATCCTCCCGGCAGCAGTAAAGGACCTCCGTTCCTCAGAATGGGCATCCGTTTCCAGTCCGATTATCAAAACACGATTTGCCCTGCGGATTGTATATGCAAATTCTATAAATGAGAGAAAACAACAAAAATTAGCTAGATATTCTGGGTTTTAAGATTTGAGATTGAAAAGGAAAAAGAACAACGATATTTTTGGGTTTTTAAAAGAGGAATCACAAAAAGCTTGCAGAAATTGAAAGGATGACTTAGGAATTTTTTGGGGATTATAGGGAACAAAAAGATAGGGATATATAGACTGGAAGGAGAAAGGATGGATGGAAAGAAGAGAGATGGCAACATGATTACCCTCCTGGTGGTGGCCACACGTGAGATAGCGTTTTCTTCTGCACTGCCCAATCCATTTCTCTCTTGGTTCTGCTGCCCATATTTTTTCTACATTAGTTTTAGCACACTAGGCTAAATGCTGTACCCTGATTGAGAACGAAAACTTGTGGTTGCAATCGAAATTTCGAATGATAGAAAATTAATGAAAACTACATTTTCATAAGCCTTCCAAGAAATTGAAGTTTGATTGATGATATGGAGAGTAAAGCCCTTCTTGACTTGTCTAGAACAGCTTATTGAAATTAAATGATGATTTAACATTTTATGATTGGTTAAGTCTTTGAGTACTCTTGTAGGCCTGATGAGACATCTTCCCAGAAATTAATGATTAAAAATTTAAAAAAAGGTAGGTAATAAAAGAACAAAATATGGTGCATTACAGAAATGTTGTTTCAATTACTGTTTACTATATTAATATTTTTTTTTGACCACCTACCATATTGAGATTTAAAGTATGATTAAGTAAGAAAAAGAGAATTAAATGATTATATGAATTCATTTACCCGAAAAAATTACTATGATTTCGATTGTTTATCCCTAATATTTCTTTATCCCTAATAAAAAATAATTTAACTAAAATAATCAATTAATTGTTTGCAATTATTAGCTTTACATATGTTTAAATTTTAATTATTGACAGGATCTCTACTTGATTCGTATGGCTTCTATAGCTGAAATACACGGCATATTACAGAATATATGTACACAGGACGAGGCGGTAGATGTTCTGATATGGGCAAACCCTGTCTCTTCTGCACATCTCTGTCATGAAACGGGCTCTCCACTTCCACTTAAAACTGTTTTATGCGTTGAGGGTGTTCCTTGGAGCCATAGTATAATATTTGATAGAAAGAAACTATTCAAATGGCAGTACAAAGAAGGAGAAGGCATTGTGGGCAATGCACTTAAATATAATCGACCTTTCTACGTTCCTCTCACTGAGTTGAAAGAAAATGTTTGCCCATATATTGGCCAGGATTGCAAAAAAGTTTTTTCTTTTGGTGCTCTTGCAATTAAGCTTAGCAGTGCTTACGCCAACTGTGGTGATTATGAGTCGAGTTTTGGTCTGAAGGTGGAAATATGAGACTTGAGGCACAAAAATCGTTGGTACACCGTATCATACATTGCTTGAAAGATGTAATGCCAGGTTTTGTCACCTATGGTAATCAGGGCCATCTAGTTGAGCTACCTGAACATGACACTGCAATATCAGATACCATGCTTGTGAGAAGCAATCCACCATCTCAATCAACTAGTGATTTCAATTTAAATCTGATTAACCAGACAGTTGGAAATGCTATGGATGGGCAATTGCCTATGCAACAGGTATCCATATTTGCTATAAATCATGTTGAACCTATTTTCTGTGCACTTTCTTTGGTATTTTTATGTAATTGTTAATACACCAAGGCTGCAATATCGATCAGTTTTCTTTTGTTAATCAGCTACTTTACACTGGAGTTTTAGATGCCATGCCCACACAAGGCAATCTACAAGCTCAACCAGCTGATGATTTTGGTTCTAAAGGGAAAACCTTTGTGGTTAACCCAGGGGATGGGAATGTTTTGCAATGGCCTCCTGAACAGGTACTGTTTATTGTAAGTTATTGTATTGAAAATGCTTATAAACTAAAGCAATGCATCGTCTTAGTATTGTTGTGAAATTGTAAATATGCCTCTTACACTATAAACTGCAACATTCAGGGTCCTCCAATTAAGCCACATGTAAGTGTAACTTCAAATATCAAGGCCTCGGGAGAGAATATAGTGGCTCCACCAATTGGTGATTTCAATTTGAATGGAAGAATATCCTCTTGTGGGAATAATCAGATAGCTCAATATCATGTTACAGATATACAAGTGCCTCATAAACAGGTACCTATTGCCATAAATTAATCATATTCAAACCTTAATGCCTCATAGACTGATACATTGCCTTATTTTTACTCGAATCATTATGAAATTGTGATGAAAGGTGTCGTGGTTCCTTATATATATTATTTTCCCTCTTTTACCTTTATATACAATCGTGGTTAAGAGTTTTTAAATATATGTCTATATTCTATTGGTATATTAACCAAATTCAAGATTTTTTTTAAAAAAAAATTTCTGACTTTGAATTTAATTACACCTTATTCATTGATAGGGAAACAAAAGACAAAGAATTTCAAGATCTGATGTTTGGAATCATTATGAAAAGGTAGAAGTTGTAGATGGGGAATTATTGGCCAAGTGTAAATATTGTGACTTTGAGACAGATGGTTCGAGCAAAAAAGGGACATCACACCTAAGAAAACACTTTGAAAATCGTCATGGAAAAATTAAAAATGTAAATCAATCATCAAATCTTTCATCTAAAGATTTAGAACCTCAAAGTGCTTTCAAAGAAAAATATGTGTTGGATGAAGACAAGATTCATTTGGAGTTGGCAAGGGTAATTATTAAGTACAAGCTTCCATTGAGCATAATTCATGATGAACATCACAAGAAACTTTTCAAAATGTTGCAGCCGAAGTTTGAGTTTAAATCTGAAAAAGATCTTGAATCTCACATACTTCATGTCTACAATGAAGAGAAGCATAAACTTTGTAGATATTTTGATGAGCTTTCTTGTCGCTTTAATCTGACGATTAATTTGTGGAAGGATGATGCTAAAGGGATGGTAAATTGTTGCTTGACAACGCACTTTATTGATGATAGTTGGGAATTGAAGATGGTGGTTCTTACTTTTAAAAGATTTGAGAATGATTTTGGTGCAATATCATGGTCTAAAGTTAATGAGATGCTGCTTTCAGATTGGAATATCAATAAGGAAGCATGTTCCCTAACAATCCACAATTCCTTCTCAAATGATGAGATAGTTCACCATGAAGAAAATTCACCTTCTAGTATTTTCTACCTTAGTTATGATAAGTGCATTAGTGACATAAATTATATGGCTGCAGATATATCTTTGAAAAGCATTTATCAAGTGTACAAGGAGGTGAATCATCTACAAAATAAGGTTTATACGTTGATGAGCGTGGAATGTGGTAACAATCAAAGAATCTGCAGCTTAATTTTGGCTGTTGTTACTATTCTTCACCCAAACTTGAAGCTTAAATTTGTGCAGTTTGTGTATGAGGAAATTTATGGGGTTGTCGTTGCAAAGCAACACTTGAATGAGATTTTTGATTTTCTTACAAGTGTTTATGATGAATATGCATATGATCGGAGCAGTAAAAGAGAAGTCGCTACAGCTATTGGTGATACAAGTTGTTCAGCACATCTCAATGCTAATGATAGAGTGTTGGATTCCTTTCAGAAGTATTTAGCAACCAAACCAAATCGGCTAGAATTTTATCAGTATCTGGAAGATGAGGAATCCTACTTGATGGAAATTGGCATATTAAAATGGTGGCAAAACAACAGCTCTAAATTTCCTACGATGGTGAAGATGGCTCGTGACTTCTTAGCCATACCTTTGTCAACCATTGTGTCAAATTCTGCATTTACCACAGAGGTTAAAAAAATTGTTTCTAGCAATAGTGATCAAGATTTGAAGATCATAAATGCAATCATATGCTGCCAAGATTGGTTAGCATCAGTAAAAACATGTAAGTCCTACCTTTTTGATGTGATAGTTAATATAAAAATTGTCAAAAATTTAGTAGTTGTAATGTTCTTATTTACAATAATTAATTGGCTCATTTGATTGATTTGATAAATGTATCTTCTTTCTAGGTAAGATAAATAAGATATAAATATATTTTATTTACATAATAGCATATGCTATAGTAATACAATGAACCTCTTGATGATACATGTATATGCCACAATAAAAACTAGAAATTTGAATATATATATATTACTAGTTTTTCATATTAAAATGTTCATTTGAAGGGTTCATTCTTGGTTTGCAACAGTAGACAATGAGAAGAGTGACGAAAAGTTAAGGAAGGAGCTAAGAGTACGGTCAGAAAAGGTTTTATTCATTACTTTCTAATTTACTTTAGTGTGCAAAGCTTTGTTCAATTTTATTGATATTTTAAGAAGTACTTACAAATGGCATACATTGACAAATCATCATATGATTATTTTCATGTTTATATCAATCTGTTGCAGGATGTTCGGGAATACTTGGTTTGGGATTTTACAAAAGAGGATTTACAGCAGTTGAGAAATTGGAAGAATCATAAAAGCAAAGGGTATGTATGTTGTTGTAATATCAAAGTAAACTACAATATGACTTTACAAATTACAATTTGAAACCTTATTGAGGAGTTCAGCTTTTGTTTGTACAGACAATTGAAGGTCAAAGAATCAATCTTAACTCCTTTTGTCATCCCTCTACTTGATGCTATTATCCAAGCAACACCGCAACTGTATTATATTGGGGATGAGGTAAAAGGTTGTTCAAAATAACCTTGCTTTTATTTTCTCAAGTTTGTTTCAAAATTAAACATATGCCTGATTCAATTAATCTACATTAATTTAATATTTTTTCTCTAAAAGGCCATGAATACATACTTTGATTTACTTAAGAGAAGGTCCGAAGAAAATCCAAACATGTTCTTGAAGCACGATTATGTGGATTCTTCAACAGTGGTAAATATCATTCACTTTTAAGTTTCAATTAATACAATAATTAACTTATAAAGATATCAATTTATAATATATCGGAAACATCACCTAGAAATATGATGTGTTAATTCATATTGATTTTTTTATTTTTAAAAAATTAGAGTTTCTTACTTGATGGATGCAAGCCTATTGTGCCAAGTTGGATCACTCCTGAGAAACAAATCAATACATGCAAGGTATTAATTATCTTGAGTTTTTTAGCTAGTTCTTTATTTGTATTGCCCTATAAGCTTATTAATAAATAGAACTACATATATAACATTTGCTAATATTGTTGTCATTGCAGTTGTTTCTGCCATCTTGTTTGTCAAACCATTGGACTCTTTTCTATGTTGACATCAAGGATCACAAATTTGTATGGTTGAATCCACTTAGAGATACTACAAAAGTGCCCAGTGTTCTTATAAAACAAATTAGGAGCTGGTTTGAAAATACTTTATTGCCTGCCATGGGCCTGAACAGTGCTATGAATTGGCCTCTCCATGTTCCAATGGATATTCCTCAGCAACAAAAGTGAGTCACCTTACTAAGTAATTAATCTTTATTACATGCCACTGGTTGGTTTTTATTCCATGGATTATTATTGTTATGATCTTATGTGGTAATTGTAGTGTTAATTTTTGTTTACTTTTAACATGACAGTGCAATTGATTGTGGCATTTTTGTAATGAAGTATGCGGATTGCCTTACACATGCCAATTGCATTGGTTTCCCCTTTTCTCAAAAGGACATGCCTCACTTTCGGAGGCGTATATTTCTTGATTTACACAATCAAAGAATACATGTTCCTGAAAGGTATGTAAAAAGTTTATGGTGTTTTTGTATGTTTCCCTTTTTCTAATTAATTATTTTTTTTTCCTCTTCTAATGCTTGTGATGATCTTTTTCCTTTGTTTTGACACCAGCCTGCAGAGTAAAGCAGATGGAATGATTTTCTAATCAATGATCAATTTTTTTCTCTGCTAATACTTGTAATGGTCTTTTTCCTTTGTTTTAATACCAACCAATGTTTTTGGACCCGGCCCGGCCCGGTCGGTTGAACCGAACCTGGACCTGAAAACGGGTCGGTTGAATACTTCAACCCGTTTAAGCAAATGGCCCGTTGAAACCCGTCAGACCCGTCCCGCCCGTTAAACTCGTGCGACCCGTTGCAACCGGTCGGGTTGAAATTTTCATTATCTTCTCGTTCGTCGATTGTCCGCCGATCGTCCGCTGATCATCCGCCGACCGTCCACCGATCGTCTCTTCCACCGATCTTCTCGTCCGTCGATCTTCTTGTCCGCGATGGTCCACCGATCCTCTCTTCCGCGATCGTTCGCCGATCTTCTCTACCGCCAATCGTCCGCCGATCATCTTTTCCGTCGAGCATCCGCCGATCCTCTCCTCCGTCGTTGCACTTCTTCTCTTTCGCCGATCATCTTCATCTCCCTCGTCTGTTCTGCTCAAAACGATCTGTATCGTTTTCGGGTGAAACCGTGAAGGTAAGGTATAAAAGCAAAATTCAATAAAAAATTAAAAATGCCCAAAAAAAAGTTTTTTAGTTGACTTTAGTTGACCGGTTGAACCGGTCGGGTGAATCGGTTCAACCTGTTGACTCGGACCCGGTGGTCAAAACGGGCCAGCCACCGGGCCGGGTCCAAAAACATTGATACCAACTGCAGAGCAAATCTGATGGGATTATTTTCTAATTATTGATAATTTTTTTTTTCTCTTCTAATGCTTGTAACGGTTTTCTCTCTTTGTTTTGATACCATCCTGCATGGCAAAGCAGATGGTATGATTCTCCTGCCCGTCAAAGTGGTGTATATACATATAGCCTTTTGTTCGAATGGTTATATATATGTTGTTAAATGTCTATTTCATACACTGATGCAAAGAGGAATGGTTATTGGAAGGGTTATTAATTAGTAAGCCCTGCATAAAGTTTCATTTTTCTTCACTCCTAAAACAAGCACATTTTTTTTCTTTATCAAAAAGAAAAGTTAAAATCCATTTAAAAAGTTTTTTTATCCAACAACACAGCGTTAGATCAATCAAACCAATTGTTTGTTCAGGAGTTTTGATTGATGAAAATCTGCACTTGCCGCTAGCACACAAGGAAAAACAATTCATTACATCAAACTGCTTATCTAAGTATGTCCTTGTAAAGAGTTTAAGTAAATTAAGTACTCTTGGTAATGGTCATTTAAGTATTTATTAAAATTTCAAATTTAACTAACTAATTTACCACAAAATTTACTCTTCAAAATCACCTAAAAGTTTAAAAATCAAACACGATTTGGGTTTCCTGATGAACCCAGAACTAAGAAATTGAATTTGAGAAAACACAGATATAGGTTCCACGAACCCAGCACGTGGGTTCCTCATGGAACCTAGCAATTGGATTACACGAGGAACCTAGAACCTGGGTTTGCGGAACTCAGATTTGGATTCCTCAAAAAATCTAGTTGCTAGGTTCCTCACGGAACCCAGTTTTTGGGTTCAAGGAACCCAGCGCAGAACCCAGAACCTGGGTTCACGGAACCTAGATTTGGGTTCCACAAGGAAACCAGCAACTAGTGATGAAGAGGATGATGAAAAGGATGCTGAGGATGAGGATGAGGATGAGGAGGAGGATAAGGATGAGGAGAAAGAAGAAGATGAAAAAATTAAAATTAATTTCATTTAAATTCATTTAATTTATGAATTAAGAAGTAAAATTTTTAATTTGTACATGTGACCTAAAATATTCAAATGAAATACTTACGTAAATTTATAATTTTATCTACGTAATTTCCACATCATTTATAATATCATTTATATAAAAAATATTCAAGTGATTCTATTAATTAACATGACAGATTAGCAAAAACTTAACGAAGAGACAAAAAAAAGTCAAATTTTAAACTTTTGGAGTTAAAAAAGAATTTTTTCAATATAAGAACCAAAATGGGACTTTTTTCAATAGTAGATGGACCAAAAAGGATATTTAACATAACAAAAAACAACTTGTTCCATCTTTAACCCATTCTATTAGCATTACATTAATTCAAATTTACTTTCACATGAGGGAAATTATAATTTCTTATTTCATGGACAAAAATACCCCTTAAAATTTCCCCACGTTAAAAACAATGTATATATACATGGAATAACACCCATGTAATTATGTACTTGTTTCATTCTTCTTTGGTAGTAAATATATTTTGGGAATGGCAAGAACATTTTATTTTACTAATTCAAAAAGGGTACATATATTTTACCTCAGCATAAAACGAGATGATTTACTATAAAAAAGAAAACATGAAATAAAACAAAAACAAATTTCAAAACCATGGAACAACAAAATGGTAATGAAATGAAAGGAAATCTGAATCACTAAGAAAATTTTGTACTGTTTTTGTTCAAGAAAAATAAAATATATTGTATTGGGCCCCCGGAAGGTGTTCTTTTGAACTAAAACTGAAATTAGCCCATGGAAGGCTTCGGCCTTTTGGGTAAAAGGCCTTCTAAAAACAAATTATTTTAGTTCATCAAAAAAAAAAAAAGGCGCAATAATGAGCGGATATTGCTTCCCTATTTATTTATTTATTTATGTTTTTTGAGACGATATGCTGTGCAATAATAAAGTATGATGTACCAACGAGGGGTTGGATCAAGTGGTAAGCGGCTTGTTCCAGCTTAAGTAAGGTCTCGAGTTCGAGTCCTTGTGAATGCAGCAGCCCTCGCTGGGAGACTTACCCACCATTTTCAGGTGCGCGACGCGGGTCGAGGCCGGATTAGTCGGGGCGAAGCCCCGAATACCGAACGGAAACCGAAAAAAAAAATAAAGTATGATGTTCGGGTTCTCACTTCTCGGACTCCTCCCAACCATCTCGGATTTCAGACCTAAAATCTGTAATATACAGTAAAAATGAAGGCGTAAGTTCTTAATCATTGCTACTGCTGAGGACTTGCCTTAATTGTTTAGTTAGTACAGAAACAATCATTATCCGAAAGAAGCCATATCAGCGTCACAGAACAAGAGGGAGGAGAAGCGACAAGTCACAGTGGAATATGTCGAGGAAGTAGTATCCTAAAGGAGAACTGAGGCCGTGATATGGCGTTGGAGGCGGTAGAAGACCTTGCTCTTCACATAATTCTTTTGAAACTAGGTCCCAAAGATACTGCGAAGGTTTCCTGTGTCAGCAAAAGGCTTAGGGATTCTACTTCTGGTGACCTTCTCTGGTCCAAATTTTGTCTTGATGATCT